CCTTAATTCACCCCTTTGTGTGTAGACATTATGAGAAAGTCTTTAATTATAAAATCAGATACTATTTTATCTGGCTCATTGCCTCATTGAGGAGCAATTGGGGTTCAGTATTTGTTCTCCTTATTTTGTTATGTGTAACTTGATACCTTATTTATTACACACTGTGCAGACCCTGCTTTGAAGATATACATATTAATATCCTCAAGGGATTTTCTGTCGCTCGGTATAGAACTGAGCATATGGGAATTATAATTTGTTTTGACTTGGCCAGATTTAGGCAGATGTTCACAAGGAAGGCAAAGAGCAAATTTCTCTTCAAAAGGTCACTCCTCTGCCAAACTTCAAATTCCTGCTACAAAACTTGGGGCTGCTGAAACTATTTAAATAAAAGTTTGCCAGAATTTTTTTAACACAGACAAAATAATGTATTTTTCCCAGCCTCACTTATGGAAATGGTTTAACCATTTTGTAAGAAATTTTCCAAAAATGTCAACCTGAAGGAATACCAGCATCCCCAGTCCCTTACCCCGTGCACCCTTCTGCACCCAACCTGCACCCTAGACCCTGCACCTCCTTCACAGAAAAGTGCAGCCCTAGATCACTTCCCAAAAACTTGGAGTGGCCCCCCACCAAAAATTATTGCCCAAACCCCCTCTGCACCCCATTCGCCTGCCCCAGGTCACTACCCAAACCCTGTGCAGTCTGCATCCCATTTTCCCCTTCTCCTAGGTCACAGTTCCCTCCCAGACTTTGCACGCCTCATAGGATCCCTCACCCAATCCAGAATACTCTTCTGCATTCCCATGCTCCCTCCCTGACTCTACATCTCAAACCCCAACCCAGGTTACAACCCCCTCCTTTACCCAAACTCCCTCTCAGACATCACACTCCAGCATCCCCAGTCCCTTACCCCGTGCACCCTTCTGCACCCAACCTGCACCCTAGACCCTGCACCTCCTTCACAGAAAAGTGCAGCCCTAGATCACTTCCCAAAAACTTGGAGTGGCCCCCCACCAAAAATTATTGCCCACCCCTGCTCTATAGCTTGAGCTAAAAGCCAGGTGACTCTCAGCTAAGGCTGTAGAGGTAACTTATTATTTCTTTCTCTACATGGTCTAAGTGCCATTACATGGGACTGTGAACCACATCCAGAAGGTTACACTAGCTCTTCCCATTTAGGGGGAGTTCTTGAACAAACGGACAGACACAAAAACAGACAAAATCTCTCAAATATAGAGTAGATAACTTGGTGTGTGACTGACTGCAGAACAGGCCTTTTTAATCCACAGTGTCCTTAGATCACTAGTGAAATCGGTTGAATTTCCAGGCATCTGTGGAGAGTTTCTCCAGTCTCTGTTGTGATATGGATCCCTCAGAAATTGTGCTGTGATGGACTCTCTTTCTGTACTTGTGCTAATACCCTTCATGGTCCTAAGAGAGTGCTGACACAAATCATTTTACCATACCATCTGTAAAGTCTCGCTACATCAGGTGTGGGCAATAATTTTTGCGGGGGGGGTGACGCCATCTGCCTGCGACGGGCAGGCAGTTTAAAAGGTCGCAGCGTGCCAGCCATTAGGGGGGCACTGGGAACTAGCCTCCCCCCAGAGTTGTCTGGGGCCAGAGGCTTTGAATTAAAAACACAGCTCACGGCTCTGGCCCCTGCTGCGGTAGCACTGCAATTGGGAGCCAGGAACTCTTTAAGTAGGATCTTGCTGTCTGAGCCACTGCCTGGAAATTCGGTGGCACAGGCAACAGAATATAAATAGAAAGTGTCCAGAGGCAGTCTGCGGGCTAGATCAAAGTTTAGGTAGGCCAGCCCCAGCCCCCAGGCCGCATCTTCCCCAACTCTGCTCTACCTACTATCTGCAAATAAATCACATTTAAATAACATAAATAATTATGAGAGTGTGCTTCTAGTAAGGTATTGCAAAAGGATCAATTCTTGACCCTGTGCTATTTAACATTTTTATTAATGATGTGGAAGAAAACAAAAAATCAGCCCTGACAGAAAAATTGGCAGAGACGACAGGTCACCGATTCAAAGTGATCTGGATCACAGCCAGAGGAGGCTGTGAAGGCTAGGACTATAACAGAGTTTAAAGAGAAGCCAGATAAATTCATGGAGGTTAGGTCCATAAAAGGCTATTAGCCAGGGGATAGAAATGGTGTCCCTGGCCTCTGTTTGTCAGAGGCTAGAGAGGGATGGCAGGAGACAAATTGTTTGATCATTGTCTTCGGTCCACCCCATCTGGGGCACCTGGTGCTGGCCACTGTCGGCAGCTACTGGGCTAGATGGACCTTTGGTCTGACCCAGTACGGCCGTTCTTATGTTCTTATGTGATGAGCACAAATAAATAATACATTTAAATGTAAACATATAGATCAAGGAACAAAGAATGTAGGCCATACTTACATGAGGAGGGAAGTAGTAACTCTGAAAAAGATTTGAGACTCACTGCTCTGTCCTCAGCAGGGAGCTGCTGCTGTCGCTGAGGGAGAAGTGTCCATCCCCAAGCCAGACAGCTCTGTGCATGAGTCCTGTGCCTCTAGCCAAGTGCCATTACATGGGACTGTGAACCACATCCAGAAGGTTACACTAGCTCTTCCCATTTAGGGGGAGTTCTTGAACAAACGGACAGACACAAAAACAGACAAAATCTCTCAAATATAGAGTAGATAACTTGGTGTGTGACTGACTGCAGAACAGGCCTTTTTAATCCACAGTGTCCTTAGATCACTAGTGAAATCGGTTGAATTTCCAGGCATCTGTGGAGAGTTTCTCCAGTCTCTGTTGTGATATGGATCCCTCAGAAATTGTGCTGTGATGGACTCTCTTTCTGTACTTGTGCTAATACCCTTCATGGTCCTAAGAGAGTGCTGACACAAATCATTTTACCATACCATCTGTAAAGTCTCGCTACATCAGGTGTGGGCAATAATTTTTGCGGGGGGGGTGACGCCATCTGCCTGCGACGGGCAGGCAGTTTAAAAGGTCGCAGCGTGCCAGCCATTAGGGGGGACACCGAGGAGATGCACCCCCCCAAGAACCGGTGAGCGGACGCCAGTATTGGAGGCCCTGGGCAGGATCGGAGGGGAAGCCCAGGTGAGCCTATTGGACCTGGGGGAAGAAGTGGCCCAGTGCAGGGACGCGGACCCTGAGAGCGGGGGAGTTTAGGGTTCTCGACCCCCCTCGCTAGGTGTGGAGTCTTTCCCTGACCTTAGGGCCTTGGGTCGGGGTCCGGAGCGAGGGCAGGCCCGGACCCCCTTCCCCCAACCGCCGAGCCAATCCGAATGGAACCGAGCGAAGCTAGTCGCATTAGGTCACTAACGACAGTGACAACTGAGGGGGGCGGACATAAGCCTCTCCGCACGGGGTGAACCCCTACATTGCCTTATAATGATAGAGCCCCAGAGTCCAGTCTATTTAGTTTAACAACAAGTAGGTTGAAGAGTGACTTGATTTCAGTCTACAAGTATGTACGTGGGAAAATGGGCTCATCCATCTAACAGAGAAAGGTGTAATCCAGCCAGTGGATTGTAAACTGAAATTAAACAAATTCAGTCTGGAAATAAAGTGTAAAATTTAAATGGTGATAGTAATTAACCATTTAAATAAGGGTTGTGGTGGATTCTCTATCTCTGACAATTTTTAAATCAAGATTGGATGTTTTACTAAAAGGTGTGGTCTAGGAATTATTTTGGGGAAGGTCTCTGGCCTGTGCTATATAGAGATTAGGTGATGACAGTGGTGCCTTCTGGCTTTGGAATATATGCATCTATGAATTATTAAGGTTGCAAAGTGAAGAACTCAGAAGGTAGGAAATTCCAGAATTAAAGCACTTGTATAACCTTAATTCACCCCTTTGTGTGTAGACATTATGAGAAAGTCTTTAATTATAAAATCAGATACTATTTTATCTGGCTCATTGCCTCATTGAGGAGCAATTGGGGTTCAGTATTTGTTCTCCTTATTTTGTTATGTGTAACTTGATACCTTATTTATTACACACTGTGCAGACCCTGCTTTGAAGATATACATATTAATATCCTCAAGGGATTTTCTGTCGCTCGGTATAGAACTGAGCATATGGGAATTATAATTTGTTTTGACTTGGCCAGATTTAGGCAGATGTTCACAAGGAAGGCAAAGAGCAAATTTCTCTTCAAAAGGTCACTCCTCTGCCAAACTTCAAATTCCTGCTACAAAACTTGGGGCTGCTGAAACTATTTAAATAAAAGTTTGCCAGAATTTTTTTAACACAGACAAAATAATGTATTTTTCCCAGCCTCACTTATGGAAATGGTTTAACCATTTTGTAAGAAATTTTCCAAAAATGTCAACCTGAAGGAATACTCAGTGTGAAAATGGTTAAAGTTTGGCAGAGTTATAAGCAAATGAAAACAGGTTCTTATAATGTTAAGTGTCAGGCAACCTTCATAGGGAGTGCTACCAATCCCACTTATAGCAGGGGCATCAGTGTTTATATATCTATAGACAAACACATATATTATGGTGATATCCATAATATAAATTTCAGAGTCATGTGCTAAGATACATTTATCAGGCACCATTTATCCTTTTCATCAACAGGTCTCTGTCCACTAATCCATCTCCATTGGGATAATTTCTTATATCTCAGGCTTTTGAGCAGCTTCTGTTGATGCCATTTCTTTTTAAACAACCTGCAAGAGAAATGTTTCCTCTTTTTCCTCTAGTGTGTATCCCTCGTGAACATGCACACACACACACACCAACACATAATTACACTGTCCCAAAGGCTCAGAAAAGACAGTCTTCAACATATGTAAAATATGATGCACATATACACACAAACAGAAAGAGAGAAGGGAAAACTTTCTTAGAATATGAGATTTCTAGCAAGAGAAAATTATTGGTTTATAGTGTAAACTATGGAAATTTCTCAATAAATAATGTTTGTATTGAGTCTATTTTCTCCCTCTCACTTTTTTATTTGTATTTTATTCATTTATTACAGACATAGTCTATGTGGCAAACTTCAGTGTACACCTGTCAGTCTTGAAAATCTTCCGGCTTCTAGTGGTGTTAGCACTCAAGATGGTGTTTTATGTGTGACTTCTGACTTTAACCTAGAGTCAGATATCCCTGATCCTGCTCAAGTTTATAAGGGAACAGCCTGTGGAAAAGGAAAGGTAAGGTAGATCACAGTAGCTATTGCAGAATGTATGACATACTGAAACGATCTCTTTTTAATACATCTTACTGCAAAGCCCTTAGCTTTTCAAAAGCATTAAAAATGTATTAATTTTCCTCATAACCACGTGTGTTCATGGCTCTAAAATACTTCTCTCTTAAAGAGTGTATGTGCGTATCTATATATTAATATAATAAATAATACTAGTTGTTCATTTATATATACATACACATAAAGAAGTATTATTAGCTCTGTACCATATAGCTCTGTACCGTATAGCCAGCTGCTGTGTTTAACAAAGCTTTAAAAATTAGTAATTAATATGTATGTTCTAGTGCATGAAAATGTGTGATAAATTAAACTGTAGAGTTCTGAAGAATCAAGTATTTTAACCCAGCCTTGTTTCTCACCACTTCAATTTTGCAGTATTGCTGGTTTTATATATATTATTTTATGTTTATAAAAATTTTAGGTTAGGTGAAGAACTCTATAAAAATACATTTTTAATATTTTTCAGGCCTGTATAGACTTTAAATGTGTTAATGCAAGTGAGCTTGGTTACAACTGTGATGTAATGCAGAAGTGCAATGGCCGTGCTGTAAGTATATTATTTTTATTACATTAGGCTTCTGGAGATTATTGATAGGCACAATAAATCTGAATGAATAAAATAAATAACAAAACATATTCTTTGTTTTTTCGAATGTGTACTAAAAGTCACATCCATTTTTATCTATAGTTCATGTTACCAATGCCCTGTAAAACTTTCATCACAAGTGTGGATACTACATTTAATATGAAATAGGCAAAGTAGATCCCATTACATTACTAAATTAGCTGTACAATTTTGAAAACAATGTAATTCTCTGCAGAGGAAAATATAATGAATGAATCATGTTATATTTCTGTGTGAAAAATCAGAACAGGATCTAGACATAGTAAAACCCAGAAGCTCTCCTTAAGCAATGGTCTATGTAAGACAAATGAGAAAAGGGACTTGTAGAGGCTTTGCAGCAACAGGAGCCAGCAATATCACTTACAATGTAAGGCAATGCCAGCAGAGGGGAAAAATGGTTGTGCCAAGATCTTTCCTTCAGCTATACACCACAATCTGTTTTCACACACACTTCTTCATGTGCAGCTCTAAATACGATTTGTTCCTTTGATAATTCTGATTTGTTCTAACTGGATGTACATATTTAGGCTGCAATTCTACAAAGGGATCCATTAGCACAGCCCTTTGCAACCATATGGCATCTCAGGCCAGGTCTACACTGTGGGAGAAATTCAAACTAAGATATGCAACTCCAGCTATGAGAATAGCGTAGCTGGAGTCAACATACCTTCGGTTGAATTTCTGTGGTGTCCTCACTGCAGGAAGTCAATGGGAAAGACTCTTCCATTGGCTTCCTTTTCTCCTTGCAACCTAGTGGACTACTGGGGTCAATCAGCAGTCGATTCAGTGGGTCCTTACTAGACCCGCTAAATTGGGGGGGGTGACGCCATCTGCCTGCGACGGGCAGGCAGTTTAAAAGGTCGCAGCGTGCCAGGAGCTCGATCTTGAGAGTATCAGTCTTGAGGTATATGAAGACAAGCCTTCATTAACATCAATGGGATTTGCTGTGAGAGTCATTGTACTCGCTGGGAATAACTCTCAGGAAGTTCAGCTTCTTACTACAATCCTCACTCTGGAGTTGACCATAAATGTTGACCATAAATGTTGTAATATTCCAAACCTTTCTAGGCCTGAAAGTTGTAGGCAGTGGTTTCCAAATAAAATATTTGCATATGTGTGGTTAAAAAGGAGTCTAGATATTGTGCTTATGGTAGCTGCATTCGTTTCTAAAAGAGGGAAATTACCATAGACACAATATCTTAATACATTTTATAAGTCTTTCCTTTAAATGATCTGTGGTGCCATGAGTGATAATTGTTAATAAATTCATTTTGAATTTGAACCTGGTGTCCCTTCAAGCATGGGATTTGGACCCTGTTCCAAAGCCAGTTGAAGTCCATGGGAGTCTTTTTATTGATTGCAATGCACTTTGGATCAGGCCTTTTGGCCTCTCATTTCCCATCTCTCAGCTAGAGTATGAAGAATTAAATAATCATAGAATACTAGGACTGGAAGGAACCTTGAGAGGTCATCGAGTCCAGTCCCCTGCCCTCATGGCAGGTCGAAATACTGTCTAGACCATCCCTGATAGACATTTATCTACCCTACTCTTAAATATCTCCAGAGATGGAGATTCCACAACCTCCCTGGGCAATTTATTCCAGTGTTTGACTATCCTGACAGTTAGGAACTTTTTCCTAATGTCCAACCTAAACCTCCCTTGCTGCAGTTTAAGCCCATTGCTTCTTGTTCAATCGTCAGAGGCCAAGATGAACAAGTTTTCTCCCTCCTCCTTATGACACCCTTTCAGATACTCGAAAACTGCTATCATGTCCCCCCTCAATTTTCTCTTTTCTAAACTAAACAAACCCAATTCTTTCAGACTTCCTTCATAGGTCATGTTCTCTAGACCTTTAATCATTCTTGTTGCTCTTGAAATGCAGTGCCCAGAACTGGACACAATACTCCCACTGAGGCCTAACTAGCGCAGAGTAGAGTGGAAGAATGACTTCTCGTGTCTTGCTCACAATTATTTATTTATTTATTCATAAATAATATAAATGCAAAAGTGACATATCAGTGCTAAGAAACTTTTATTTAATTGTGGTATCTTATGTGGCTACAGGTGTGTAACAACAATGGAAATTGTCACTGCAATCCTGGCTGGGCTCCTCCTTTCTGTGATAAATCAGGCTATGGTGGCAGTATTGACAGTGGTCCAACTCATATAGGTAGGATACTGAAGCTTTCTCAGTTTGACTGCAATGTCTGACAAAATAAACTATTACTTACTTTTGTTTCCTTTTTATTTTTATTATAAAGACCCCAGAGGATGGACAAAATCCTCTGGTGGCTTAGCTCCACTGATTTACAGGGAATTATATTCCATGTAGTTAGAGCTGTGTCAGTACCAGGATATCCAGCAATCTGTATTAACATTTATATTGTGTCAGCTTATAATGCAAAATGAATCTGATATTTTTTCTTAACAAATATATACAAATTGTTTTGAAATCATTATTTGGAAAAGATGAACAACCTACTTTTGACTTGTAAGTATGCTGAAGAAAATATGTTGAGTCAGAGAAATAATGAAAATTAGGAATTTGCAAGCAAATTTTTTTTAAAAAGGTGAAATTGTGTTTGTCAATTTCAGAGATCTTGAAAAAAATACAGATTATGGGAAAGAGAAAAGCTAACATGCTGCTTTCATCTCTTTAAAAAAGGGCAAGCAATCTTAGAATCAGAGAACCATAGAGCTGGAAGAGACCTCAGAAGGCCATCAAGTCCAGCCCTCTGCCCAAGGCAGGACCAATCCCAATTAAATCAACCCAGCCAGGGCTTTGTCAAGCCGAGACTTAAATACCTCTAGGGATGGAGACTCCACTACTTCCCTAGGTAACCCATTCCAGTGCTTCACCACCCTCCTAGTGAAATAGTTTTTCCTAATATCCAACCTGGACCTCTCCCACCACAACTTGAGACCATTGTTCCTTGTTTTTCCATCCGTCACTACTGTGAACAGCCTCTCTCCATCCTCTTTGGAACCTCCCTTAAGGAAGTTGAAGGCTTCTATCAGATTCCCCCCTCACTCTTCACTTCTGCAGACTAAATAGACCCAATCCCCTCAGCCTCTCCTCATAGGTCAGATGCTCCAGCCCCGTGATCATTTTGGTCGCCCTCCGCTAGACCCTCTCCAATGTATCCACATCTTTCCTGTAATTGGGGACCCAGAACTGGACACAGTACTCCAGATGTGGCCTCAACAGAGCCGAATAAAGACGAACAATCACATCTCTAGATCTACTGGCAATGCTCCTCTTAATGCAACCTAATATGCCATTAGCCTTCTTGGTTACAAGGACACACTGTTGACTCATATCCAGCTTCTCATCCATTGTAATCCCCAGGTCCTTTTCTGCAGAATTGCTACTTAGCCAATCTCTAATATTGCAGAACTGCTACTTAGCCAATTTCTGATCTTGAGTCCAAATACTTGTCTGATCTTTACTATTAGTTACATTGACTTCACTAAATCTACTAATATGTATATATATTGTTTAGAATATGCTTTGTGATTACTTAGAGGGTTAGAATTCTCACCAATGTTGATATAGCAGCAAATATTTGCATAATGAAATTAAACAAGATGATGAGCTCATGCTGTTTGCATTTCTTTTCCTTAGATACATCACTTCGAGATGGCTTGCTTGTATTTTTTCTGTTTGTGCTTCCAGTGCTGATTGCAATTGTGATGATAGTTCTCAAGAGAGATGCAATAAAGAGAAGGTTTTGCCGGAAAAGCAGAAGACGATACAGGTGTGAAAAATGTATTTTCATCACAACCAATGTCATGCTTGTCGTAGTGGGGTATTTCATCACTTGATATATCATGTTCTAATGCAATGCAGAACAAGTCTTAATGTCACAAGTGTTATAAAGCAGACCCTTATAGGGGCTTTGTCCGTACTAGGCTCTACCACTTCTACCACCAGTGGAATTGCACTGGTATGAGCAACAGTAGGAAATATTTGTCAAAATGCCCCATCTAATCACATCCTAAAGCAAGAGTGGGCAATAAGCTGGAAGCAATTAGCCAGGGTTGTCCCTGGCAGGACACCAGTGCAGTGGGCACAGCAGGGCAGTGTAGATGCGCCACGGTCAACAAGGGAAGCCTTTGTCGACCGCTCCGATATGCCTTGTGAAACCGGGCATACCGGACCCATCGACAAAGGCTTCCCTTGTTGACCGCAGCGCGTCTAGATTGCCCTGCTGTGCCGATCAGCTGATCGTCGGCACAGCGCAGCGGCCATTTTTATGTAAATGAAGCGGCAATTATTTAAATCGCTGCTTCATTTTGCTATGTCTAGTAAACTCATCTACATGGCTCCATCGACGGAGCCATATAGTCTAAACATACCCTTAGGGGTAAATTAGAACTAAATAACAGCACAGAACACTGAGCGCCAGGACTGGTGTCTGTAAAACAAACTTTATGGGGCCATGGGAAACCTGGCCACACCCATGACAAGTGGACATCCAGTTAACTAAAATCAAGCTGGACCACACATGTTGCCGGACCAGAGAGTGCCAGACTAAAGAGGTTCAACCTGTATCTCCAAAATAAAGATTAAAAAGAGAAGAAACAGCAGATCAGAAGTTGCCCTAAATAATGCTCATATAGTTCCACACATTTGGCCTCCTGGTGCATATGTGTTTTTCTCAGGTTACAAGTTTGTGGCTATGCAGGAAACTTTCTGTTTTATTTAAACTGTCCAGATGCATACAGTAAGAGATAGTTCCTGCCTTGAAGATATTATAGTCCAAATAGACAATTCAGATATAGAGTGGCAGGGAAAATAGAAACACAGAGAAGTAAATGACTTGTTCAAGATCACACACTGACAGAACTAGAGAAAGAATCTTGGGCTCCAAACCCCTGATCAGTGTCCTAGCCACTGGACTACATTACTTCTTCAATGTAATTAATCTAGATTTATACTAACTTTTCTGATTACGTGAATTTTATTTTAGGAATAATAATACACAGCAACCAAGGCAAAATAATGGACCAAACCAGAATAATGCTATAAATAATCAGGTAAGATGACGTTTTCAACAAAGAGAAGCTAGACAACACTCAACTGCTCTTAGTAGAGATCAGAGGTGCTTCCTTCCTTTAGGAACTGAATGTTGGTCTGCAGAGATCATTGCTAGCCCAAATAATGTTGGACCTAAATTGTATTCCACAGAGAGCAATTGCCAATCTAGCCCATCAGTCCATTTTTGGCACACAAAAAACAACCCTATGTGTTAAAAGAATATAAAGAATATGCATAGAAAATAGAAAAAGCTCTGAAACTGTCATGAATTTTAAAATTAAGGAATAAAGCAAATGGTAGACATGTGACCTTGCTAAAGAACCTCTTTAAAAATAAACTAAATTAAGAGGAAAGTATGTTTGGAACATACAAAGCTTTGTTTTCTCCTTCCCATCTCCTTGGCACCCTATTCATTTAAAACAAATCAGCTGGTATCATTTTGAAATATTTGTGTTGTTTTATAGTCATGATTGTGAGAACTTGCCCCTAATGTATTTTAAGTTTTGTCTCTGCTGTACTTCTTCCCCATACCTCTTTCTATTCTTTTCTTTATTCCTGCTTTTTTTGGTCTTTCCCTCATTCTAATTTCTCTTCCTTTTTTCTGTTTAGTGCTCTGTCCATAATAAATTGTTTATGGATCTTTGCTAATATTAACTTATTGATTCTCATAACACTCCAGTGCACTATGTAAGTAAGGGTTCATTTACACAGCAGGGCTTAACTCGAAAAAAGTTATACAAATTGAGCTACGTCAATTGCATAGCTTATTTCAAAATAGCTTATTTCGAAATTGGGAGTGGCTACACAGCACTTATTTCAAAATACAGCACTCTTCCTCCAACTTCCCTTACTCCTCGTACAACGATGGTTACAGGATTTGGAGTAAGAAGTCTTCCAGCTTGACAGTATTTCGACATTATTTCAAAATAACTGCCTGCTGTGTAGACGTGGACTAAGTTATTTTGAAATAACCCTAGTTATTTCAAAATAATGTTGCTGTGTAGACATACCCTAATGTAATCTCATTTTACAAATAGAGAAACTGAGTCATGGAGACCGTTTAGTAACTTGCCCAGCATTACTCAGGAAATCTGGGACAAATATCAGAATAAAACCTAGATTCCCTGGCTCCCAGTCCTGTGGTCAGACTACAGGCCCCCTACTCCTTATGCTTCTCACACAAACCTTCACCTTTCATCTCTTCCCTATCTTGCTTTTCATTTCCCAGACTTCCTTTCTGCCCTTTTTTGCTAAGTGCTTTGGGAATGAACAGATAACCTCATCCCAACATTGTTCCTGTAGAATAGCATGAAAATTGTAGATTGCTGCTTTCTAATGTCAGTTGTTACATAGTCAGTCATAAAGTTATAGTTCATTAAGAAGAAAATGAGTTTTGGAGCTGAAGAAGAGTAGATCTGGCTCCTATTCCCAGCAATGCCACAATCTTGGTGTGAAACCCTGGGCCTGTTTTCACTATTGTATAATAGCGATTATAGTGCTTTCCTACGTGAGATTTGATAAATTATTTGCAAAGTGCTTTGAGATCCTTAGGTACTTCTATATTTATTTATTTAAAATAATTTTACCCCGCCTCTCTATTCGAAATATTTGAAGTGGGTTACAAAATTTTTAAAAACACAATACAAATATATATAAAAATTTAAAAATTACGAGACCCCAAAAGAACATAAAACCTGCTAAAAGTGTCTCGAGGGGAGGAACATATGCATACAGACTCAAACACAAATAAAAGCACATGTAAAAAGGGTAGCTTTAGCCTGATGCCAAAACATTGCTAACATTGGCGCCATGCAAATATCCCGAGGAAAAGAATTCCACAGCTTGGGAGCAAGGGCTGAGAAGTCCCTGTTCCACATAGATGTTAATCTTATCTCTGTAAGTGGGGAAACACTAAGCAGAGCCTCCACAGCTGACCTCAGTCCCAGGGCAGGTTCATAGGGGAGAAGATGGTCCTTCAGATACCCCGGACCCAACTCATTTAGGGCTTTATAGCTCATAACCAAGACTTTAAATTGTGCCCGAAAACATACTGGAAGCCAGTGCAGCTGCTGGAGCACTGGCATAATGTGCTCCGTATAACACGTATTAGTTAAAACTCGAACAGCTGCATTCTGGACCAGCTGAAGTTTCCGAAGGCTCTTTAGAGACAGTACTTTAAAAGTACTATTAAATCCTATGCTCTTAAAACTGAAAATGATTTGGCATATTTTTGAGATAGTTTGTCAAAAAATGGTATTGACAAGTGTTTTGCTATTTCTGACAAATATGTATAGTGTTCACAGTTAAAGATTTACAATAGTGTAATTTGTAAATTGTATTTATTTATTAATAATGAATGATTAACCACATGGTTTTTTCCCCCAAAGATATGTCTAGTGTTATTGGGGGTTATTTCTATCTTCTTTTTACTTCACATTTGTTGCTCTCTTTTTCAGCCAGCAACAAAAAATTCTGGGATTTTTACAATATCACATTTTCCTGCTCCAAGGTTTGTAATTTTTAATTTTTACTCTATTTTTTAAATGTGTGTTCATTGCATTATTATCACAAACAAAGGGCACAAAGTGGCTAAGAGGTGGCACCCTTCTAGCTGTCTTGAATAGTGCCTTTTATACAATGTTTTGTACATTGTAAAATAGAATCATAGGATTGGAAGGTAACTTGAAAGGGTATCAGTTCCAGTCCCTGCACTCTGGCAAGCACCCTCTAGTCTAGAGCATCCCTGGAAGGTGTTTGTCTATCCTGCTCTTAAAAATCTCCAGAGATGGAGATTCTACAACCTACCTAGACAATTGTTTCAGTAGTTAATCCCCCTGACAGTTAGGAAGCTTTTCCTGTCCAACCTAAACCTCCCTTGCTGTAATTTAAGCCCAGGGCTTCTTGTCTTATCCTTGTCCCATTAGAGGTTAAGGAGAATAATTTTTCTCCCTCCTTCTTCTAACAACCTTTTAGGTACTTGAAAACTGTTATCAGGTCCCTCCTAGTCCTCTCTTTTCCAAACTAAACAAACCCAGTTCTTTCAGTCTTCCCTCATAGGCCATGTTTTCTAGACCTGTAATCATTTTTGTTGCTTTTCTATGGACTTTTTCCAATTTGTCCACATCTTGCCTGAAAACTGGCGCCCAGAACTAGACATAGTATTCCAGCTGAGGGCTAATCAGCACAGAATAGAGCAGAATAGTTCAGAATAACTACTTCCCATTTCTTACCTATAACACTCCTAGGCTGTGTCTACACTGGGCCACTTATTCTGGAAAATCAGCCGCTTTTCCGGAATAAGCTGCGAGCTGTCTACACTGGCCCTTGAATTTCCGGAAAAGCAACGATGCTCTACTGTACAAAATCAGCCGCTATTCCGGAAAAACTATTCTGCTCCCGCTCAGGCATAAGGCCAGTGTAGACAGCCCAGTAGTCTTTTCCGAAAAAAAGCCCTGATCGCAAAAATGGCGATCGGGGCTCTTTTCCGGAAAAGCTTGTCTACATTGGGCACAGACGCTTTTCCGGAAAAAGGGCTTTTCAGGAAAAGCAGCCTGCCAATGTAGATGCTCCTTTTCCGGAAAAACTGAAAACGGAATAGTATTCTGTTTTAAGCATTTCCGGAAATTCATGCCAGTGTAGAGGCAGCCTTTAGTGTTTCATTACAGAAAGTTTCCCTGGACCTGTGCATGGCAGAGGAACATCCCAGGAGATGCAAATTCCCTATATGGTCCCCTGTTAACAGCCTTCCAACTTGCATAACAGAAACAGTTGGCAGCAATCTGGGTTTGCTTCTTAACGAAGAAAATGTGTCACTAATATCAAGATCATCTTAATAACACTGTGGGTATGTCTACACTGCAAAGTTAATTTGAAATAACAGCCGTTATTTGGAATTAACTTTAATAACGTCTATACATGCAAACCGCTATTTCAAATTTAATTTGAAATAACAGAGCCCTTAATTCGAATTTGGTAAACCTCATTCTGCAAGGAGTAACACCAAATTCGAAATAGCTATTTAGAATTAAGTGATGTGTAGACATTTAATTCGAAATAGGGGGCCTCCAGCCCTTCCCAGGGAGCCCTGGTGGCCACTCTGGGTACAACCAGGAAAACTTACTTTCCGCTCCCTCAGCCCCAGAGCCATTAAAGGGGTAGACCCTGGCCACAGTGCCTGTGCCAGCTCCAAGCCTGCCAGCCCAAAGCCAGCAGTGGCCGCCGGGGCCCCAGACCCAGTGGCCCCAAAACATGAGCCAGCAAGCCACTGGCAGCCAGCCCTCCACTGCTCCCCAGGAGCTGCTTGCTAGACACTAAATGCATGTTTGCTAAACACTAAATGCATGTGGATATACAAATTCCATTGAAAGTTTAAATGCCTTACAAACCAAACTAGATACTGCAAACTGATCATTATCGTAGTTGTCTGATATAGATCTTATGAAAAATGAAATATGCAGTCACCTCAGCATTCAAACTAGCAGTGCAAAAAAACAAAAACAAAAAGACCCCAGAGTTCTTGAGAAAAAAATAGCAACTTTTAAAAAAAGTATTTGAGATAATAGTGGGGTGATACTAAAGCAGGACTGTTCAAAAATCTCTCAACAGTTCTTCCATCTTTGCTTATCACTATATTAGTACCTGCTTTGATGAAAAATGCTTTTTATGGGTTTCTAAAGTAGAGACTTATGAATTAGTATAGCATCTTCCACGTTGTATTATTAGTCACAAATGCTGACACTGTACATGGCTGCATCACTGTAGAGAAAAAGATACAGGTTGGACCTCCCTGATCTGGCACCCTGGGGGAACACTGAGCAGAGCCTCCCAAATGAAGGAATTTGCCAGTTTAGGGAAAGTACTCTGCCACCTGCCTCCCAGCATACTGCCTCTTCCTGTGGCTGGGTCCGCTCCAGCCCCCCTGCCACTAGGCTGCAGCTCTGCTGCTGCTGGGCTCCAGTGCAATAGGCTGGCTAGAGCTCTCCGGATACTGAGATCCCCAGCCACCGCAACACTGCTGTTGCCACACCCCACTGCAGCTCCCTAGGAACGGGGCTCCCCAGTTGCTGGCTGCCCTGTTGCTGCTGCACTCCTTGGGGACAAGGCTTCCTTGGCCTGGGCTCCCCGTGACAGGGTCCCCAGCCACCGTTGGACCCACTGGTGGGCTCCCCACCTACACTCCCGGTTGCCTCACACTCTCCAGAGCTGGGGCTCTCTGTTCCAGCATTTGTGGTCGTTCTGGACCATGGATGTTGCCAGACCAGAAAGTTTTAGATTTAGGAAGTTTAACCTGTACCGTCATATTTTCTGAAATTTCCAGGAGAAAGTTGGTTCTGAAATTACACACAATTCCAGAAAAGCAAATGTTAATAACTGTAGAGCTGTCTTACACGAAAGTTAATAAAAGGTTGGCTCCATATCTGAGCTCAAGATACTTCAGTTTTTTATGATTCAGTTACAGCAGACAAAGTATACTTAATACTACAGAAACCAAGATACAAACAAAGACCTGAGGGCTGAAGTATTTTTCTGTGCCTTTGTTGCCACCTTTTGTCAGTCTTTTCTATTTAGACTGTGAGCTTTTGGGGGCCAAGACAATCTCTTATTCGCGAGTGCACAATAAGTACAATGGGGCTGTGATCTCAGAAAGCCTGTGCTACTATAATTACTAACACTCAAAATATTTTAAAATGGGAGGTTCAATACCATTCTAACAAGCACATAAGAAATAACACGGATAAGTAGATTTTCTTGAACTGATGATCATTGTCAGTTCCTGAAATATGGTATCAAACATGCCCTAACAGTATTTTTCACTCTTTAGGCAGGCAATACAAAATCAGTTTCCTGCAGCTCCTTCAAGATCTCATCAGCGACCACCTGTCCCACCCAGACCTGTTGTCTGAAAACAATCCTCCTCACAAAATCAGACAAATACGTTGAGTAAACTGAAAAAAAACCTGGCAAGGTAAATCAATGAAGTATATTAGAATTGGGTTTTTTTTTCTGTTATATGAAGGTCTCAATCTTGTAGTACTAAGAGTCAGAACTACCTCTGAAACACAATAGACTGCGTCATCAGAAAAGGCCTGGTATTGAGGGGTGATGAGCACCTGCCATACAACTTCAAAGGAAATCAATATGTAAAAATAATCATCTCTTCCTCAACCTAGACTTCTTTGAAGCACAAGACAATCCTAGCAGCCAGGGAGAGGGGAGTTTAAGATTAATTTAATTAACCTTTTCACCTGCCTAACCTTAGGCTTCTCAGGGGCTCAGGAGACCTGTCTTAAGTTATGATAGCCTCACCAGGCATTTAGAATCTCTGCAGTACCACTGTATTGGAGCACTACTTCCATCACTCTCCTATACTTGTTTGTGTGAGAAGATCCTTGGGAGGCAGCATTACAGCTGTTTTCCCTGTGCCTGCAACTTTTTAGGGCTTCTTTATGCCCCTTCATCTCTTTTACACAATGTACAGTGGCTTATGCAGTGGTGGGGGCTTATTAGCAATATTACATATACATCCAACTGTTCCAAATAAACAGAAGAATTCTGATGAAGAGAATATAATGAAGGAATCTATTTACAGAATAAATCTGGGTATAAATAATTAATCTAGCCTCAATACTAACTTTTACTTTATTATACAGACAGTCCCCAGGTTACGTACAAGATAGGGACTGTAGGTTTGTTCTTAAGTTGAATTTGTATGTAAGTCGGAACTGGTACATATTGTAGGGGAAACTCTAGCCAAACATTTCTCCAGAGCTCAGTTTTATTCTCCCACACCTCACTTCCCACAGTCCTTTATTCTCAAGCTGAGGTATCTGCTGAGAAAAGCCGCTCCGCGTCTCCCTGGTCTGCTGGGGGAAGCAGCTAGTGCGGGGTTGCCTCACCCCGTTTGTAAGTAGCAGCTAGTGCAGGGTTGCCTCACCCCATTTGTAAGTAGGGATCCGATGTAAGTCGGATCCATGTAACCCGGGGACTGCCTGTACATATCCTTGTGTACTATCTTATTTATAACACATCAGGAAAAAAACCCTAGCTGCTTAACTACATATTAAATGTTTACTTGTAATTACAATTTGAGATTTCAAGGAATATCTTCAGCTCTAAAATTAACAGAATATAGTCTTGTAGTTCTAAATGTGACATTACCTGTAAGGAGTATTGATTTAAAAGAAAAGAATGAAAATTGCACAGTTTGGCAAAATGGACAACTAACTGGAATGAGTGTTGGGAAAATCTATTATATATTCAGAGTGAACATGCTGTGGAAAAAGAGAAAATGTTTACACTGATTCAAAATGATGTGAATAATAAGATAAAATTAATCAAAGGATACTTTAGGCTCAGTATCTGAAAGATTTTCCAGTTGTGGGCCACATCCTTCCATCTTGAAGCTATAGGAACTGAGTTTGTTCTGTTATTCTTATAACTTGCTGGTGGGGAAAATAAAGCACATTTTTCTGATCTTTGCCCCTCCCAATACTGGTCTCACTGCTACCTGATCTGTCTTCTGTGTTCACTCACCCCTCCACAGGAAAGGGAACACTATAGCAAAAACACTTTCCCATAAGGAGCATAAACAAACATCCTAAAATCAATTAAATTATGGAATAGTACCCCAAAGGAAGAAGAAGAAACCCCTATATTGTCTTTTTACAATTGAACCAAATGAAGAAATAGAAAATATACTGTAGAAAAATAAAATCCTCAGCACTGACAAGATAGTCTAGTCTCTTCTATTTGTAATTTCTCAGTATGTGGAAAACAAGTGTTACTCTTAGTTATATTAAATATATACCTATTATTAACCTATTGTTTTTTTAATAATGGTACTAAGTACTGGCAGCATTTTAGCACAAGTTGTTAATGTTAGCATATTTCATAGTACTTTTATATTTGAATGTAAAAAATATAAAAATTGTACTCTAGCAACATATACATCAGGAATAAGTAAAGCATTTGCGCTAGTACTTCTGATATGGAAAAGTGTTTACTGAAAACCAATTTTGCATTTTATGTCAAACTAAATCAGGACACAAAATATCAGTTCATACCCATACTGGTTGTAATAAGCAGTCATGTTTTATTATAGAAATACTGTTCAGTGTTTCAAGGAGTGTTTTGTTATTCTCCCCTCATAAAGGGAATTGACTTGAGCAATTCCGTAGGCAGAATGTATTTCTTGGAATTTCTGTAATTTATACTAAACAAATAAAAAAGTATCCTACTATCTATGTACATGAATAAGAGTGCATGCAATAAAATGGAAGCAAACAATAATCCTTTATCGAAAGACTGCAAATATATTTTTCAAGTCACTGTGGTACTGACCAGTGTTCCTTGTAAACTGTAACCACTCAGGAGAGATTCCAATGCTGCCCAGTTGATTAACAGAATTCCCACAGCTAGTTTTTGTTTGTTTGTTTCTGATGAGGGTGCACGTTCACACATGCTTCCATGCACATAAAAATATATTCTGCACATGGATGGAAAAAACTAGATGTGTATTGACAAGAATTTTTCTTTATAGCATTGTATTCTAAGTGTTCAATATTGTAAATCAATACTTTTGAAACATGTAACATTAAAAATATTTACATAACATGCAGGTGTAGTTTATTACAATGGATAAGAATATGCGGATTGTAGCAACTTCTGGAAAATGAATCAATAGAAAATAAGAAAATGTCTGAAGACATGCAGTGTTTCAAAGAATTTCTCTTTTTTAACTTAAGTGGTTAAGAAAAAGATGCAATATGGGAACCCCTACTGCTATCTCCTGTGTTAATTCACAAATGAAATAAATGACTTTGAGTGGAGGGGCAACTGAAGTGCCAGTGCTTGATAGCTTCCTAGCCAAACCAGTCAGGATCATCTGTTAGAGGCAACAAGATCTACTGGCAGATCCTGACCTACTGGTTGGTGACCTCTGCTGCAAAGGGTATTTTGCAGCTATAGTAACATTCTATGCATCTGTTCATTGTGGAGGCAACTTGGTGAGCCAATCAGACTCAGCACACGGGGGTCTCATCGGCTCTGCAGACATTACGTGGTTTTAATCGAGGGCCCAGATCCTGCAAACTGACCTAAGGCAGCACCCTATCCCCACTTCCCTGGGGGGCGCTCCGGTGCTTGTGTGGGGCAGCACAGCTAAGCCGGCAGGTTGGAGTCCTGGCCAGCTGAGGCAAACCCTGCTCTTCGCAAGGGGGCCCGGAAAATTGGTGTTTCTAAGGCGCGGAGCTGTGCCAGGTACCCGGCAGGGCCCGGACTTTTACCGCCAGCTGCGCAAACCTAAGGCCACCGAGAGATACAAAAGGCGCCTCCTCCCGCCGCCCAACGCGCGCCAGGCAGCCCGGGGGCTCCTCCCAGGGCTGTGACCGCGGTCGCAAAGGGACCGGAGCGCGCGGCGCTCTCTGGGCTGGAACACGGAAGCGAGATGCGCTTCCCGCCCCTCCCACATGGGAAACTGGCGCCACTGCGCACACGTACGATTGCTAGCGCGCATGCGTGTATTGCAAGGCCCAGCGTGTTCAGGCGCTAACGACAGCAGCACGCGCAAAGGGCGGGGCGTCGCGTCCGCTGTGTACGGGTGCCCGCGGGCGCCTTCCTCCGGATTTTCGTCTCCCGACGCGGAGGCGCTCGCTGTCAGTGGCGCCGCCCCGATGGCGGCTACCGGGATCCGGCGGCTAGGCGTGTGCGTCTTGTGCGGGTTACCGGCGGCGGGCAAGTCCACTCTGGCGCGGGCGCTGAGGGACCGCCTACAGCGGCGCGAGGACCCAGGCTGGGACTGTGCCCTCCTGACCTACGATGACCTCATGCCGCTTGAGGCTTTCAACCAACCAGAGACAGAAGCGGGGCAGGTAGCGCAACACCCATTGGTCAGTACAGATTGATCTTGCTATTGGTTGACGTTTCCTCGCCCTTCATTGGCCGGCGCTGCTTTGCCGTTCCAATTTCGTCACTTCCCTGGCAACGGGAACTTGATCGCCCCGCCCTTTTTTGAGCTCGTGATTCAGTTGGGCCTGTGCTGCGCTCCATCTCCGCGCATGACAGCTGGGTCCCGAGCACTGTCCTCCCTCCCCTCTCCCCCCCCCCCCCGCCGCTATTCCTAGGGCTGGGATATTGGCAACCCATGAGCGCCACCTTGTGGGCATGTCCCTTCTTTCCCACGGGGCCGCTTGCTCCTCCTGATACCTCCGAGCTGAACATGGATAAATCACTCACCAGTCCGCTGTGTCTGGGCCCATCCTGGGCTGACTGACCACAGCGCAGTCTCACGGCTGAGCCTGGGAATTTCTTCCCCAATTTCTTACGGGGTTGGTGCCGCTGGGGAAGCGGACCCACGTGCACAGCTTCCTTCTCCCACCTAAGGCTAGATCCCAAGAGGCGCCGAGTATCTGTCCTTGATATTAAAGGCAGAGGACACTCTGAGCAGCCTGCAGTCTGCTCTCATCTCCTCCTGCAGCTCTTCTCCTTTTAACCTATTTCTTGCATTTCCGTTCTGTTTTGCCTTTCTTTCCGCATTTCCTTGCAGAGTACACCCTGCCATATCCCAATTGCTGTAGGTGAGGGGGATAAGCAAATGCTTTAGACAGAGAGGGACCACAGTTGTTCCTGCCCCGCAGTTCTCATTTTAGCTAAGTGTTTATTTCATAAGCACAAGCGCAAAGAGTTTGAAGTAATGTCAAACTTCTACTCTAATCTCACTCTGGAGTCTAAGTATTAAGGTATGAGCTAGTTTTAAATCGGCTGCCATATTTGAGTGAATTAAAGTCTGAAACAAAAGGCCTTCTTTCCGTTAAAATACATGAGGATGCTACTTATGATTAGTATTGGTCCCAAGTTGTCTGGCTGAATAGTTTGTATCCAAACTGAAATAGACATAACACCTGACATTACATGTAATTCAAGCACAAATACATTGTGGCTACCTCTACACTGCAGGCTGCTTGCACAAGAGTCCTTGTGTGGACGCTCTCTTGTGCAAGAAAGCTCTGATGGCCATTTTAGCCATAGGGCTTTCTTGCGCAAAAAATTAATGTTACCCGTCTACACTGCCTTCCTGTGGAAGAGCTCTTGCGCAAGGAGGATTATTCCTGGTGGGGAAAGGAATAACTCTTCCAGAAGAAGCTCTGTTTTCCAACACTGTACTGTAAATTTACTTGTGCAAGAACGCACCTGAAGTGTAGACGTTCTGCAAGTATTTGCAGTTCTTGCGCAAAAAGCCTGCAGTGTAGACATAACTTTCTAGCTGTCTACACTGGCCGCTTGAATTCGCACAGGAGAACTGACTTTGTAATGTACAAAATCAGTGCTTCTTGCGCAAATATTTTCATGTTCCCGCTCAGGGATAAGCCCTCTTGCGCAAGGATACTTGTACAAGAGGGCCAGTGTAGACAGGCACCTTAATTTTTTGTGTAAGAAAGCCCAATGGCTAAAATGGCCATCGGAGCTTTCTTGCGCAAAAGTGCGTCTAGATTGGCATGGATGCTTTTGCGCAAAAGCACTTTTTGCACAAAAGCATCCTTGCCAATCTAGACACCCTTTTGCGGAAATACTTTTAACGTTTTCCGTTAAAAGTATTTCCACAAAATCATGCCAGTCTAGACGCAGCCAGCCTCTCGGTGTGATCATCCTTTGGGCACTGATTCAATATAGCAGTTAAGCACATGCTTAAATTGCTATTAAGAAAATGTGTGTTAGCATATGCCTGATGTTAAGCATGTACTTAAGTGCTGTGCTGAGGTGATGACCATGAGGGGGAAAAGGAGTGGGCTTATATGGAAATGGAAAGCTATGCTGTCGGTAATAGACAGCAGAAAGAAAGCAGACACAAGGTCATAAGAAAGAACTGGAGGGAACACATAGGGTGGGAGTTTGTATTTGTTAAATTAAATATTTTAAAATAAAATGTGAAATACTTTGTTTTCTTCATAGCTTTCTCGCTGGAAATTGTACCGACATGAACTGTTGGTGTACCTCGAACACTTTTTGCAAGCTCTTATTAATGGAGATCATTTGTATGCTCCACTAAACAGAACTGAAGCAACATGGAAAAGATTTGTTTCCTGTTTCAAAGAACAAGGATTAATCTCTTCAGAAATACATGATGCCAAATCTTGTCATTACTTAATAAATGCAACTGCTTCCAGACCACTGTATTTAGTTTTGGACGACAACTTTTATTATCAAAGCATGAGATACGAAGTATACCAGCTAGCTCGGAAATGTAATTTTTTTTTGTCCTTTACATGCATCAATTTAATATTTTTATAGCAAAATAGTTATTCTGCTGTCAGTGAACTTTAATTGCTTAGCCCATTTTTTATGTTTAATAGTTAAATACATTCTAAGTGACTAAAATATTTAAATATAAAGCACAGAATGTGACTAGCTTCTGTGACTGCAACTTTTAGTTTATATAAAGTTTCTCAATTTCTCACATTGTTCAAACTGACTGCATCATAGGCAACTTTTAGTTTATATAAAGTTTCTCAATTTCTCACATTGTTCAAAAAAGTATTAATTTTGTGGTTTAAAATTACTACTTTCTTCAAACCCAACATTTTGTGAAATTCTTTTAGATTCATTGAGCTTCTGCCAGTTATTTTTAGACTGTCCACTTGAGTCATGTTTACAGAGGAATTGTCTGAGAAGTCAGCCATTACCTGATGAGACCATATGTCTAATGGCAAGAAAAATAGAAGTACCAAATCCAGAGAAAAACACATGGGAACAAAATAGCCTGATCCTGAAAAGTGTTGAATGCACTTCAGAAGATAAGTATGTTGTTATTTTGAAGTTCTCCTTTATATACTTTGCTTTCATAGAGGCAAAGAGCAATTTTCCTGCACCACATATTGCAGTATGTTGTACACACTCTGTGGAGCTATTTTTTTAAACCCAGAGAATTAACACAAATGCATATTGCATACAGAGAATATTTTAGAACTTGGGAGCTTGAGCCAATAGTGGTTCCAGAGGCTTAAGGAGATGCTTGTCCTTATTTTTGCACATGCATGCAAAAATGCTTCTGCACAGTCTTCCTAAACCAACTGTTTGTTTGTGTTTTGTATTCATGGAAAACCAGCTTTCTAAAAAAGATACTAAGACCCGTTTGCAATCTTAACTGAAAAGCAACTGTTGAGGTGGGGGGTTGTGCCATGATATTGTATGTTGATTTTACAAAATGAGATAAGAGTTTTGTGACATTGTTTTTAGTTTGCAGGTGATTAATTTGTTGGCTACTGCTTTGGAAAATCCAGAGAAACAAGCTGAAGACAACACCGAACAAAAGGTAGTACTAATTGTCTTTAAACAAATGTCCTTCTGCAGATTATATAAAAAGAATTAATTGTGCATTGTTAGTTGTACTCTGTTTGCCGTGGTGTCTAAACATGAGAAATTCCGTCCATCATTCTTGCTTGCAAAAAGCACAGAAGAAAAAAAAGACTATGTATGTAATGAGGTTTTTTTCTGCATGAAATATAGTGATTGTGCTACAAAGTCTTAGGTCATTAAGACTGTTTTAGCAAGGTTTGAATGTTCTACAATAGTTACGATAATGCCTCCCAGAACTGACTGACCACATTGAGAAGAAAATAGTATGCAGCCTCCCCTTGAAGTGGTGGTAGAGATTGCTTTTCCCTGGTACCACGGAGACACTCCGAGGCAATACCATGTTGCAGCTAGCACAGAAGAAAAAAAAGACTATGTATGTAATGAGGTTTTTTTCTGCATGAAATATAGTGATTGTGCTACAAAGTCTTAGGTCATTAAGACTGTTTTAGCAAGGTTTGAATGTTCTACAATAGTTACGATAATGCCTCCCAGAACTGACTGACCACATTGAGAAGAAAATAGTATGCAGCCTCCCCTTGAAGTGGTGGTAGAGATTGCTTTTCCCTGGTACCACGGAGACACTCCGAGGCAATACCATGTTGCAGCTCGATGCTATCCCAAGATAAAGCTGTGGCTAAATGCCAGTCTGCCCCGGAATAATGCATTCCTCAGAATCAGTATATTTACATGCAGTAGAACAGGGACACACAGAAGCAGGTGAAATTATAAAGCAACTAAACATTCTTGATTCATTTCTACTATTAAATATAACTTTCTCTTGATCTTGAATAGGAAACAGACAGAGCCATTTGTGCAGCTAGTATTCTTCACCAAGCTGACCAGGCTTTCAGACGAATTGTTTCTCAAATAATGAAGGATGTGAAAGGTATGCATGACATATTTAATTGTCATTCTCCACCGGCATATTGCTCAATTGGTTACTAATATAAGGCTGAAACTATAAAACCCTGGTACACTTAGTAAAAGATCAGACCGATAATGAAGGATGTGAAAGGTATGCATCACATATTTAATTGTCATTCTCCACCAGCATATTGCTTGATTGGTAACTAATATAAGGCTGAAACTATAAAATCCTGGTACACTTAGTAAAAGATCAGACCCTAGAATCCTGCAGCTACATTAATCTAAAACTTTACTCTTATGAGAAGTCCCACTGAAGTTAATTGTTTGTAGGATCTGGGCCTAGAATTTTGAAACATTCAAACTTGTGGATAAGGGAGAAGCGGTGGATCTTTGAAACATTCAAACTTTATTTTAAGATAAAACTATAGTTTTATTCTTCTTTTAGATAAACATATATGCCCAAGTAAGATGAAGATTCTGGCAGAAGAACTTAATAAGCTTAAAGCAGAGTTTTTGGAAGATTTACGACAAAGGAATCTTCAAAGTAATGAATTTGTTACAAATACCATCACTTCATTCCAACAAGCAACAGACAACATAGTGAAGAAAGTTTTCCTTTTAAATGAGCACACTGTATTTTCATCTTAAGGAATGCCAG